AAATTAATATTTTTTTATACAATTATAAGTTTTTGTTATTACTTTTAAATAATTTGAAGTGATTTTTTTTACCTAGAAGTAACTTTTTACATTCTATATAGTGCAATCTTTTTATTAATATTTAATTTAAAAACTAAATATATCTAAATATTTATACTTAAAAATTTGAAGTTAATATTTTTAACTTTTAAATAACTTGAAGTGATCTTTTTAGTTATAAGTAACTTTTTGCATTTTAGAAATAAAAAATTACTTTTATGTAAAAAGATATTATCACTAATAAAATAAATAGTAAACCTTACATTATCTCTCTTAAGATATGGAGGAATTTTTTTAAAATTAAATATTTATTAATAAAAAATAAAAAAAAATTATCATCACTCCGTGCACGGAGTGTTATCACTTTGTGTAAAAGGAGAAAACTCTCATTTTGAAATCAAAGATTCTCTTTGTCCACGGAGAGATTTTTTTTAATTTAATTTTTTCATTTTTAATTAATTAAATAATATTTATATATTATTTATTTTTATTTTTGTAACTTTCTTTTATTTTATTTGTTTTATTTGGTTTAATAAAATAATTTTTATACATTTCTTATGATATAAAGATATTCGTTAAATTTGAATGAATAATATTTATTTTTTTAAAATCGTTTTAATTTAATTTAAAAACTTTATAATAGTTTTTTTATTTTTATTTGCAATTTTTTAAAATAATCTTTATATTTAATTTCGTTTCTTTATTATATATAATGTATAGTATTGCCTTTAATCAAGTGAAATAGTGTGAAAATGGAGAAATAGTGACATCACAGTGAAACCACGTGTGAAAATGGTGAAATGGCGTGTGAGAATAATGCTACAGCGTCATTGAATAAAATAATTTACTGTTGTCAAATCGATTTCAAACCAGTTTCGAATGAAAACTTATGTGATGAAAATGAACAGTAAACCTCACACTCTCTCTTTTTAAGATAAGGAGTGAATTAATATAAATAAAATAAAAAAAATTTATCACCACTCCTTGCACGGAGTGTTATCACTTTGTGCAAAAAAAGAAAACTTTCCTTTTGAAAGCAGAGATTCTCTCTGTCCACGAAGAGATTTTTTATTTTTTTAAATTTATTTTTTTAATTTTAATTAATTAAATAATATTTATATATTATTTATTTAATTTTTGTAACTTTCTTTTCTTTTATTTGATTTATTTGGTTTAATAAAATAATCTTTATACATTCCTTATGATATAAAGACATTCGTTAAATTTGAATTAAATAATATTTATTTTTTCGTTAAATCGTTTTAATTTAATTTAAAAACTTTATAATAATTTTTTCTATTTTTATTTGCAATTTTTTTAAATAATCTTTATATTTAATTTTGTTTCTTTATTATATAATATATGGTATTGCCTTTAATTAAGTGAAGTAGTGTGAAACTTGTGAAATTGTGTAGTAGAGGTGACATCATAATGAAACGGCGTGTGAAAATGGTGAAATGACGTGTGAGAATAATGCTACAACGTCATTGAATAAAATAATTTACTATTGTCAAACCGATTTCAAACCAATTTCGTGTGAAAATTTATCTGACAAAAATGAACAGTAAAAAGGAGGGAAAATAAAATATAAGTAAAAAAAATAAATCAAATTGATTATTCAATTACTATCAATATTGTTTTGAAAAAAAATAAAAATAAAATGAAAACATCTGCCTTTTTAAGGAAAATAAATCAGGAGCAAAAGTAGATGTGATTTCCGAAGTATTTGACCAAATCTTCTTCGTTTGGTAATACCTAATTTAGGAATACTTTGACCAAATCAATATTATTTTAGAAATAATTGACCAAATCTGTGACGTTACGTAAGACCTAATTTAGAGTCAAAACTGTCAATTATTTGTTTTCAATCTTCTTACAAACAAATAAGAATCATTTTATTTGCACAAACTAAATTGACAAGCTTAATTTACTAAGAACTTGTTTGGTAGAGCTTTTAAGCTAATTAAAATCAATTTTTTAACTATTATTTCTCTATTTTAACTATCATTTTTGAATTATTCTTTTACAAATAGGACCCACTTTATCTCTAACGATCAAAAAATTAATTATCAGAATCCCTATCAAATAAGCATTAAGTATGTGTTGACAATATTTAGACCAGTTATTTCAAAAATAATTTTTCAAATCAATAGAATTCAATGGGCTAAATGTTGTCAACAGTAAATTCATAAGCAAATCTTGTACAAATAAATTAATTCATCGAATAAACATAATACCTACAGCCTATCTAGGCCGATTAATCCTAGTAATATAAACTAAAGAAATAAGCTGTTTGCACAATGGACTTGTATGGCTGATTTTTTATTTTTATTTTTTTTAATTCAACATCCAGTGAAAAATGGCCACGTGGATCACAGTAATATAATCTGTACAAGTTAGTCCTTAAGAATGGAAATTTTCAGAGTATATGATCAATTGTTGCATAATTTTCGTAACTCTAATTTATGAAATTGAGTTTTGCATCACACCCTAGATCATCCAAGAAATTTTATTTTGGAAAAAATGCATTTTTAAATAGTGTATTGATGAGAAATATGTGATTAAAAAATGAGAAAAAATTTTGGATTTATTTTTAATATTATTTTATTGAAAACTGTGTCATTGAAATGATGTTAAATCTCTGGTTAAAAATGTATTTTTTCCAAATAATGTAAATCAAACATGGCCTTAAAGTCGCATTCTCATAGGAATCCTTTCAAAATATTTAACAAAAATTTAAATAATTTCTTCTATTATCCTTTTCACTATTATTGATAATGCAACTATAAGGCTTTCTCTAATTACAAGTTAGTCCCCGACATATTTGTCTATGTTTGCATAATTATAATTTCAAAATGTGTGTCAATCATTGCATGATTCTCGTTGTATCTAATTATGGAACTAGATTTTCCTTTAGAACATGCTTAAAAATACAAAATAGATGTTCATAGCGTAATAGGTTGAGGATTGATGGGATGTAATTATTTGTATAGAAAGTGAATTTGTCTGAGCCAAAACTCAATATTATTAAAGCTTAGCTCCTGTTTGTTTCCCATTATTTGTTTATTAAAATAAAAATATGATCGTTATTCATCACATCAAATCATTATATTTGATTTTCTATCTCTTATGTGAGGTCCGTAACGACTATATTTTTCATTTTTAGTGGTTCAAACAGGGCCTTAATTTTAAACATTGATCCTTTAAATTAAAGAATATCTTTTAACTAGATAATCTCTTACAATGCTCTGATAAGATGTAATTTTATCTAAAAAAAAAAAAAAAAAAAAAAAGTTATTCGCAGTCGTTCACTGCGACAGTCATCCTATGTAACACACATGATAAATAGTTATTTGATGCATAAATCAATAAAAACTACCACGTTGTGTTAATGTGTCAAAGAACTACTTGTCAAATGTATGTAACCTAAAACAACTGTCGTAGTGAGCAACTATAAATAATATTAATCCTGAACAAAAACCTAAAATGCTTTACGTGTATGCCATCTAAGACAACTACTGCAGTATGCAACTGCAAATAATATTAACCCTGAACAAAAACCTAAAATGCTTTACATCTATGACACTTAAGACAAGCAGTGAACAACCGCAAATAATATTTGCCCTAAACAAAAACCTAAAATGCTTTCCAGCATGTCAATTCACAAGCCACTTCCAACAGGATCAGTCCATTGCAATTTCAATATTTCAAAGGGCTAATAAAAAATGTTCCGATCTCCAAGAAATCATTGACAAGAAAATATAAAGAGAAATTAATAGGAAACATTAATATAAATTGCATTATCAGCCGAGAATAGGCTCCTGAGAAAATGAGTTCAAAACTTGGAGCCAACATTTATCGCCTACACAAGGAAACACGAACAATTCTAGGAAATATCAAATATTATGTTAGAACCTTAGACATATAAGTAGAAAACATTCCTAATAAGACAAAATTAAGAACACACTAAAATGGAACCTTCCTTGAAACGGTAACAGCACATAGTGGATACTTCATTTCACAAGACAGCTTCAAAACTTCACTAAGATCAACCAAATTAACCTCGTCCTCCGCCCAATTGGAGTTGTTGGACTTTCTATGTTTAGTTTAAGTTTGAATTTGTTTATGGATCCCAATTTAATATTTTCGAGACAAGTTATGTGCGTTTAGGAGTTGCAAGGTTGAACAAGTACTCACACTTGAGTTGAAAAAATTGGCGCTTGCAGCTTTTTCATAATTTTTTTGCAAATTTGATTGTGCCCCTAATTTAAAATGTATGCGTCGCCACTGCACGCAGGCTATAATATTTGTATCTAGTTTCACTTTTTTGCATGGTCTAATTTTGCTAAGCATGCTGTCAATGTATTGTACATAATACTGAATGCAATTGAACAATAGGATCAACGAAGAAAAATAATTGAGAAATGCAAGTATTAAAAGTGGGAGCTATGCTACACGAAAGATGGAAAGAAGTTTATGCCACTGTTTGGTACCGCTAACAAAATTGTTAAAATCTAAGTCAAAGTTATCAATTAATTTTAACTATTTCATATGGCACACAACTTTTTAATCATACATATTCCATCAACTTTTATCAAAATTTATTAAAAATCTGATTGTAATCTCTACATTGGCTATAATGCATTGTTACGAGTAATTTTGACCACTACATTGGCTTAACCCAGCCAGCCCCAACCTAATATGAATCTATGGGACGTGCTAGGTCTCTGGTTATTTAGATTGTCTTGTGTTCGATCTATAGCTTGCTGGCATAGGATTACATAAAAAGGGTCGGCCGATCAAACTCGCCTAACACTACCCTTTCTACTTGATCTTCCATGTAGAAAAGATCTTATGTAAAGTAGTTGAAAACACAAAACAAAGAAAACCTTGAAAGCATCTATAATAAAACTATATCATATAGCATTCAAATTTAAAACAAAATCTCAAAATAAGCAAGCTTATAATCCCAAAGAGCTTATATTTATTGCAGGTGGAGTGGGAATAGGCATTGCACTGTTTGCCGGTTGCGTCTCCCCCCAATGATTCAACATGCCTCGCCAGTTGCAATTATGCGGAGGATCAATGCACTTGTCAATGCGTTCATCTTTTATTTCGATTCTCCAATGCCCATCAGAATAGTTTGCCTTTTGAGCCTGCCTTCTGTCCCATTCCAACTGAGCCTTTTGTTTTGATCGCAATAGACAAAACTGTTGGAGTGTTTCTGGCATGGAGTCGTGAAGTTTCCACCACTTCTTGTGGGCTATGTCGCTTGCAAATTCTTGTAGGAAATCTGTGTTCCAGTTGCAGTCGTAGTCACGAAAGCACATCCATGGCTTGTTACCTGTTGAAACGACAAATACTCGAGTTTTTAGATGAGTTGGTTCAACATGTTAGAATGATTGTGGAATCAAGTTTCGCAACTGTCTATTCTTGAAAAATTATGCACATGCCGAACTTATAGCTAATCTCATCTGGATGACCTTACTTTCGAGACAAAATAATTGAGATGAGATTTGAATACAAACAATGTCACCATTTACATGAAATAAGGCTAGAACTTTACCCAAATAATGAAGAACGTAAATAACCGGTGGTTCTGCTGTGAAAAGCCGAATTTTCTTCTGCTTTACTTCTTCATCGTCCCCAACCCAAAAATTCTTCAAGAAATTCATATACCTAGGAAATCTATGCCACCATGTGAAAACCTCATTCAGGTATCCCTGATCTCCACCATTATATGATTCAATTTCATTAATATTATCCATCAAAAACTGGAATGTGCAATTCGATGGCTCAATCACCATTACTCCAGAATTGAAAAGTGTTCCATGGTTCCCCGTTGCAGAGATTTCTGGCATCGAAAACAAGAAATCGATGTTTTTGAGAATAAGCAGATCGGAATCGATGAAGATTATTTTGTCATAATCTGTAAGTTGCCATAATCTGAACTTGCTGTAGTTCCATTCGTTGTAGGCATCTTTTTCGGCCTTAGGATTTCTGATTCTTTGTATTATTCGGATTTTCCAGCCTGCTAATTCGAGTCCACTTTTGTGGTATTCGCTGATTGTGTCATCGACAAGGATAATGAGATCCCTGGTGGATCCAGCCATGCGGATGCTCTGGGCTGCAGCTATGGCTCCACACACATAGACGTTGGCCGAGTGCAGGACGGTAGCGTAAGCCTCTCGTTGCCTGTTTCTGGTGTAATCCTGTGCTGTTATGTGCCAAACAAATCTTTATACGATTAGTGAGTATTAAGTAACACGCACTTCGTGATGTTATCAAAGAATCAAGTTTGATGTTTGGCAAAATCCCATATTTGGTATCAAGAATATTTAGTGCGCGAAACTAGATAGAACTTACCTTTGGCTCCAAGGGGAAGTGCAAGTTCACATGATCCTATTGGAAGCTGAAGCTTTTTTCTAAGCACATCCATGTTCGGTTTATATAACCACATGTTGCCAACACGAACAACTCGATCCTTGCACGTGAACAAGTTTGGTATCGGTGGGCACTTTGTAATTAAAAAAAGATGAACAGGGTATCTACCTTTGCAAGAGGCAGCTAAACCAGCCACTGATATCTGCAAGTGTAGTCGAGCAATATCTTTCGACCAATTCACTTTATTACGACAAGGGAGTTTGACAGAAACAAGATCAGGGCGATGTCTTGGGACTTTAAGGTTAGATAGACGAGGGCAACTAGGAACTATGTCATCCTGTTCTTCATCAATCCATTCAGGATACAAGGAATCCCAAGTAATGTTTTTCTGGGCATAATCCAGGTGTAGAACTTCGTGATTAGCCGTGGGAATAAGCTGTTTCCATTGATGGATTTCGCTCTTATCAAAATTGAGAAGTCCTACTCGTCGAATCTTATTATCTTCAGGTAACTGCTCCAGTGCTCTTAAAATATCATGCCAATTGATGTCTAAATCTGATACGTATCGAGGATCCAACTCGCTCCATATCCACCTGTTCACAAAATGTGGCTTCAATATATAAGCTAGCATTATTGAAAAGCGTCGATCATATATTTGATGATATTGTCGTTGACTCGTCGTTCATTTGATTTACGTGTACATAGTTTATACTAATACTAATTATAAAAAAATAATTGATAACGATTTAGAAGATGAAAAATTAACTGACATGTGAATAATATTATAAATAAAAGAAATAAAAGTGAAAATTATTTATTTAATTTTTTAGATAAAATATAAAAACGAATAAATATTTATTTAATTTTTTAAATAAAATGTAAAAACTAACTTATAAGTCCATTTAATTTTTTAATTAATTATTTGGAGTTCATTTGTATATTTATTTTGAAAAATTTGGGAGGCAATTAATTAATTATTTTTTATTTTCTTTTTGTTTTGTTTAAAGAGGACGATATATTCGTCATTTCACAAGGCTTTATTGAGAAAATGGAAAAAAAGGTTGTATTCCGCAAAGAAAATGTCATATAGGGGGATTTTCCTCAAAAATGAAAAGGTCGTAGTCCGCAAAGAAATGTCAATAGAGCTAAAGGTTAGGGGTGTTTTGTGTCAATTACCCTTTCTTAAGGTCTGCTTCTATTATGGTCTTCTCTATACAAGTTCCCGAACAACGTTTTTGAACAAAAGCACGGGGCTTCTATGTGTTCTACGAGTTCAAGGGAGTTTAAAGCCTGCAATGGAAGAATATCTGACTCGAATTCGAAGGGCCGTGCACTAAAACTTTAAATGGGACATTATCCATTAAGACAGAATCAAAATAGAAGACTTGTACAAGCTCAATTAAGATTATGCACATGAATCCTATAGCCTAAAGCCCCAACCGTATAACAGAGTTGCGGTGAGTTGACAGCCAGAATAAATTTTAGCACATCCTATGATATGAATTCTAATGGATTGAAAGGACCAGCCAAAAAGGAGTCCTTTAGTCGACCCTATCTGACAATTTTTAGTGGGTGGATCTTGATTCTAGTACTCTTCCCTGCAATGGCAAACTGGAAAGGATTCTCAACACTTCTAAATTTGATTTTCTGCAACCTTTTCTTATATGCATCATCTCTGTTAATAGGGCATGCAGACGCATGTTAGAGTAAACAAGATGAACTGAATCCTTAATAAACAAATAAATAAGAACAGTAAGAACCAGTATTCCATGAATGTGTGTGTGTGTGTTTATATGTATCTTTGCACGTCGAGTTGACATGTTAAATTAGTTATAACTGGTCATATCTTAAGAAAAATGTCACGTGAACCGTTAAGGGAAAATAATCCTACATCGTAAAATACCGAAACATTGACCAACTTAAAAAGATTTTGGGCCACTCCTCTTAACAAGGTTGACCTTATTAAGATGGACCACAACTCTTAACATGGTATTAAAGCCCAATATGCTCCAACAAGTTATTCAATCAGATTAAGTCTCAAAAATGAGCACACGGATTTCAAGATGGTCTGCTCAAAAAATGAGCCACCATCTTGCGGGGGCATGTTAAGGGAAAATAATCCCACATCGGTAAAATATCGAAATATTGATCAACTTAAAAAGATCTTGGACCACTCCTCTTAACAAGGTTGACTTTATTAAGATGAACCCCAACTCTTAACATAAACGGACTTATTTTGGTTATGCCTATTTTCAAGTGTGTCTGTTCTGACTTAACAAACAAGCCGTTGTGTTATTCTGTCACTTCATCATGTCAATTACATAGTTTTTTGAACTACTTCTTATGCTAAAACAACTTATCTAAAAGCTTAAGTCGTTAAAAGGGAGATGATTTTTTTTTTTTTTGTTTTTCTTAGACCTCTCTCTTATAAAATACCCCTCATATGCAAATCATAGACACATAATATGATTTTTTTTTTCCTTTTTTTTAGAGGCAGGTGAATGTTCACAAATTTACGGCGGGTGGGACTTGAACAGAGTTCTTTACTACATCGGATATAATACCATACGAAACCTTCGCATTCATAATCTAATGATCAAAACCTTCCAAATGTTTTTTATCTTTCTCGTCAACAGTTGTAGGCCTCTAGTATGACGAAGTACCGAATTTGCGACATTTTTCCCAAGGAAAAAGTTCATGAGGGGCTTAAAGCACTACATAAGATTGAATGTTAAGACAATTGAGAAGGAGAATCCATGGATAAGAAACATAACCAATTCAGGAATGAACTCACATTCTTTGTCTAGTATCCATGAGACTTCTGGAACAATTTATCACTGCAATATCAGTCTGAATTACGTGATAATTTGATCTGCAATACAATATAGAATCCAGGTCATGACATCATAGGCCCACAAACTTTAATAAACAATAACATCATAGGGTCGTTTAAAAGAAAAATATTGCACGAAGATTGTTTCAGAAACTTGAATATGTGATTCCTTCTCGAGAGCCATTCATACGTTGGAAACGCTGTAATAGAACTCTCCAAATTTACCTTTGAAAATGCCACTACAATTTCCATCCCTCAAGGATCGAGAGGTTAAGATGAAAACCAAGAGAGAGAAAAATTTTGTGACTGATGGAATATAGAGCAAGTAGAGAGTACAGCCTACTAATATGAACAATCATATATTGAATTCATGTTTGGTAATGTGATTATATAATGTTACAATAGCAAGAAAGAAAACGAAACTAAAATCTTGTCTTTTTTAGAACCATTCCACATGATCTAATACCACGTAGAAAACGTGCATTTATCTCTTTCTTTTAAAAGAATAAGAAAATATTTCCCATTGAATAGAAATCCTTCTAGCTTTGGAAATTTTGTGGGTAATTCTAGGAAAGTTTGATCTGTCTTAAGGTTTCTACTTATTTTGGGAATATGAACAATCATATATTGAATTCATGTTTGGTAATGTGATTATATAATGTTACAATAGCAAGAAAGAAAACGAAACTAAAATCCTTAATACCAATTGATCTAATACCACGTAGAAAACGTGCAGTTATCTCTTTCTTTTAAAAGAATAAGAATATATTTCCCATTGTATAGAAATCCTTCTAGCTTTGGAAATTTTGTAGGTAATTCTAGGAAAGTTTGATCTGTCTTAAGGTTTCTACTTATTTTGGAAACACCCTCTCGTTTGATTCATGAAAAACTTTTATCCCCTCTGTCAGAAATATTTGATCCCTTTTCCAGTTGCTATGTATAGGACACATTTCAAAAGGTCATACGCCCATCAATAGTCACTTCCATCGCTGTTGTTTTAGAAGTCATAGTTAAAATACATCTAAATTTCATATGTAGTCACTTAACATTCGATGAAATCTTAATTGGCTATTAAAACCTCAATTTATTTTCTAATTTCACCATTTCGTCACCTGCTTTCTCCAAATTAATGAAGACCATTGGATTAGCAGCCATACCACAATGAATGTTCCATGTAGTCGATGCATGGTATGTCAATTACGTAAAAGTGTTAAAATAAAAAAAAATACATCTAAACATTTTAATCTAAAGACCGCAGACGAAATTTATCGACAAAACACCTTATCATTCAAGAGGATTTGAAATATGATTTCAAACTAGGAAAAAAATTGAAGCTTGAACTCAAGATGTGCTAGTTGAGATACCCGTATGTCGACCACCTCAGATGGTGTGAAGGTCTCTACGACCTATATTTCTCCTTGATGTATGTATGATTCAAAATCTTTAATGTCGAAAAATCAACTATACCATTTAGATCATATTCTATAAGTTAGAGGTCGATCCGTAGTGCAATAAAAAAGATTTACATTTTGTTCTTCTTCAATACTGTCCATTGTTGTAGTGTTCACCATGCCAGATTTGTCATAAATATTTTCTTAATCGAGTAAAACAAATATCATATTCTTCTTGCCTTTATGGCTATTAAAAAACATTATAAAAGAACGGGTGTATTAAATGTATTGAGTTAATAAAACACGTGCAATGTCTTACCAAATGGCAAAATTGTAATAATCTTTTATACATAACAAGGTAGAATATCTCATTTGTAACATTTTAAATTTTAAAATTCTACTAGGTCTTTCAATAATCCTTTTTTTAATCAGCGCTTTCAAGTTTAAAATCATACTCGCTCGTAGGCAAACATTATTCGCTTTTGCAAAGTGGTTTTCAATTTAAACCATGATAAGCCTCATCGCAACTTACATATGAGCATAATTACATACCAATTCGAGTATTCTTCAAATTATAATGTTGAGATTATTAGTGTTCTATGTTTCCTTTTCTGCTGCACTTAAATTGAACAAAATTTTCTTATGGTCAACTGTCCACTTAGTCAACTGCAAAAAACACTGTAGAATTACGCAATGCAAGCTGCTCGCGTGTTTCCTAATCGCAAGGCAAGTTTTTACATTTTATAGAACAACTTTAACATATTTTAATTAAGCTCGCTGAATTAAAACATCAAAAGACAAGAAGCCAATTTAAATTTAAATTGGAGAAAACTGGATATATGTAGTACTCTTTGATTTATTGTAGAAATCTATATATATATACTTGACTCTTTTAAATATAAATGATAAAATTTCTGGCAACTTTTTGGAACAGAATATATATCCATAAAATCCTTCACTCAGATCCCCAAAAAAATATAGAAACTTTTGCAGCCGACATATTTCACCGAGTAGTTTGTGCTTCAATTCATAATCGATGTTTTTAATAACGTTTTGAAGTACTCACAGTGTATTTTGCAATGCATATTTCAATCTGCTAAACCGCTAACAATGAGATCAAAATAGTGAGTTGGAAATCTAATTCATAGCCATCACCTCTTTTGGGGCCTATATTTCAATCTTTGGAAAAGGTTGTGGGTATCATTTTGAGAAACTCATGATTAGCTATTTATGCCATCACATAGTTTGAAATGAAAAACCGTTTAGTGGTGGACTTAAATAAAATGATATTTGATGTCAATTATTATCAAATTTATAAGTATGGCTAATTTTCTGGTTGCTACGAGTTGTATATATATTGTTATTTTAATTGAATTGATGAATTGAAAATTTGATATTATTTCGTTGAATTTGTATATTGTAGTTCTCGGCTCTAATATAGAGTTAATAAGTGATCATTTTAATCATTTGAGGAATTGCAAATAGCAACATAGGGGGTGTGTTCAATGAGACATTTGAAAACTTTCATAGACTTTTTTTAAGTGATAATTTTGAGTGAATTGTCCAAATGGTCATTGAACTTTGCAAAAGATTTTCAAAGGGTCATTGAACTTAAAAATCACATAAATGGTCGCTGAACTTTGTAAAATATTTTTAGGGGGTCATTGAACTTTAAAAATTACCTAAATGGTCACTGAACTTTGTAAAATGTTTCCCAGGAATCACTGAATTTGGTGACCTCGTGGAAACCTTTTGTGAAGTTCGGTGATCTCGTGGAAACTTTTTACAAAGTTCGGTGATCATTTAGGTGATTTTTAAAGTACAGTGACCTTATAGAAACCTTTTACAAAGTTCAGTGACTATTTAGGTGATTTTTAAAGTTCAGTGACCCACTGCAAACTTTTTACAAAATTCAGTGACCATTTGGGCAATTCACTTGATAATTTTTGTAATTTTTTTGGACTTTTCTATAGATTTGTATGAAATTAATGGAAGTCGTTCGTAGACTTCTATAGACTTTCATTCTAAAACTTTTGTAGAATTCAAAAGACTTTTGAAAATTTTCATTTAAAATGAAATTCACGTTAGTCTAATGCAACAGTGTGAAGTTCTCACTTCTCACATCGTATGTGTGTTGTGGTTCATTGGTTTCTACATTCTCTTTCCTCTCTTTATGTAATAAAAAATATTTTTAAAACAACAAAAATTTGAGTAACCTCAATTAAATAAATAGTAATCAAAATAACATACGCGCGCTCACACATATATAGAAAATCAATATATAAGTTTAATTTTAAATTAGTACTTTTTTTATATAAAAATCTTATAATTTAACTATATAGATATTTTTCATAACAAATTGTTAAATTTTTTTATAAGAATCTTTAATTACAATTTATTTTCATAGAAAATAGAAATAAACAATAATATAGAAAAAAGAAAAATAGAAACAAATATAACCCGTAGAAAAAAATAATATTTTAATCATGACTCTAATGTCCATAGAAGGGAAAAAGGAAATAGAAATATTGAAAGAGATAAAAAATACATAATAATATATATTTTTTATTTGTAAAAGTTTCCCAAAATTTTAGAATGAATGAGAGACAAATTTTAATATTTTACTTTTCTACTGTCTCCTTAAAAGTTAGTATGTTATAGACTTTTATAAAAAAAAATTATAAGTCATTGACAATTTACGTCCTCCAAACTTTTTAAAAAAATTTAGTTGACTATGCCGCGATTTTAGAGGGTGTCAATTAGACTTGTCGGTTTGGGTCGCTCGTGTTAGACTCAGAAAAACTTTAGTCGGCCAGGCTCGAGGCTCTAGTCAAGTCCCATTTTGGAGCAGTGGCTCGAGCCCAAGCCCGAGCTAGAGCCATAGCCAGAGCCAGCCCATGTGGCTCGACAAACCACACTGCCAGCTCGTGTCACAGCCAATTTTCGATTAGTGACGAGCAGATTCTTAAAAAAATTATTGCAGCAATGTAGCTGCCTGCACTATTGCTTGCTTGCAGGCTGTTTGTGTATATATTTAAAAAAATTTGAGCAGGCCCAACTCGGCTCAATAAGGCCCGAGCCTAGATTTTTTGGTCGAAGAAAAGCTTGAGCCTAAAAAAACTTGAACCAATTTTACTCGAGTTGAGCCTGGAACCTCAAGTTTCAGCTCGTAAGCCAGCTTGATTCGGCTCATTGATATCCCACGTGATTTTTAAAGATTCTTTAGAAGTCTATAAGTTTTCATTGAATACACCAATACTTTTAGAAAGTCTCAAAAGGTTCATATTAAATACTTTTAAACTTTTTAAATTTCAAATAGATTTTAAAAGTCTCAATTAAGTACATCCCATATAGCAGTTTTTTAAGGTACTAGTATTTCATGTTTTTGATACTTTTGTAATATTTTCGATTTCTTTTTTTTTTTAGTCATTTAAGGTAATGTATTGCATTAATTACGCAAATTTAAAGGTAAGGTTCACCATGCCACACGATGCCCTCATTTTCATCATCCTCCTTTTTTTTTTTAATTGATTTTTGGCATCTTATTTTAAGTTTTTTGCTTTTTACGGTTCCTTGTATTGCCAAAGTCATCTTTTAAAGAAGAACTTGCAAGCCCCTGTCTAATTAATCCTGGGTGCCCTATTAAATCACTATTACTTTTTTAGTTTTCTATTTTGTTTTAAATTTTTCTCAACAATATGTTTCTGCTTTCTATCATTATTTCAAGGTCTAATTAATCCTGGGTCTGCCCACTCCAAAATTTGATTTATTGCATGATTTTGAAGTTGTGCGATTCCTCGGGGGTTCTATGCATTTATTTGAATGATTGGATTTATTTATGGATGACTGAATGTATATATGGCTGATGAATGAAATAATAATCAAATTTTTTCCATTATAATGAGGCACAAGGGAAACAAGATTCTTGGACATTGTTTTTTAAATTAATTTTTTCAAAGCGCTATTACCGGTTTGAAGGCAAGATAATTTGTAAGATATATAATCTGAAATTAACTTCTTATTTTGTGTTATAAAATACTGCAACATGCGAAATAGAATTCAACAATGGCGTGCCATGTGGCTATAAGGAAAACATTCCAGCAGGTTGAATTCATATGAAAAAACACCATGGATACATCAACAATTAAAATGACAGAGACCGAAACGAACTAGAGAGCACATTTGGAACATCACATTCAATATTACTATACGATAAGATTTCAATTTCTTTTCTTCCTCAATAGTGGCAAACACTATTTATTCCACCACCAAACCAAACATGCTGGGAACTTAGCAAAATAGGATTTCTTCTTAGGTTTATCAAATATCCCAGATCCATAAGTCTGATATGTCATCTCAATCAAGAGAGGGAACTGCAAGATGGAGAAAAGAACTATCGGAATCGTTGAAAGGATGATGATCGGAGTGGTAACCCAAGACAACTTCTCATGTAGAATCAGATACAATACAGAACCAAAGGATGCCATCATCGTAACGATCGAAAAGAACAAACATGTCAATCCAAATATTAATTTCGTCGGTAAAGACTTGAGAAAATCTTCTTCTGCATAACGCGCCGTATGAATTCCTAAGAACATCAACAGCGACGTACTCGAACTGAACATTGACAAGGCATTTGAAATCATGAAAATCAAGAATGGAGTTCTTTGAGTTTCTAGCATTGTTGGCAATCCTGAGTTTTCTTTATTACCACCTGGTACTGTGAAAGCTGTTGTGAACATTACAGCAGCAATTAGAGTGCCTACTATCATGCTTGATCCTGCTGTGCTTTTCATCCAGTTCTCTGCATCTTTGGTTAATTTCTTGTGTTCATCAGTGAATAACATTTCGGGTGTTTTGTTGATGGCATTTTTTCCTCTTTGAGTTTGGGTTGTACTATGCTCTCGACTTCCTGTTTATTGGAAGAAACAACTTAAGATGAGGATTCAAAATTTTAGATAAGACAGATTGATGTACCATTAGAGTAGATAAAATGTCGTGAATTCAAGAACACTTGTGAGTAGGAGAGAAAAAAATTACACTATATTATCTGTCACTTTGGACTACTTTTTTTTGGGATAAAATCGTGTGCACAATTTTTTCACAATTTGAACTCAAGTTCATTTCCTAAATAATACCATATCGAATCACCTCATATAAAGCTTAAACTTTTGGAAACAAGACAAACTTATATATGTGAATTAAGTGTTCAATAACTATCACCTATTTATGAAAATTGTACGTGTTGTAGAGAGGGAGCGTGTTGAAAATAAAATTCAAATAAATAAGTATACGATATCTCTGAACAGCTTAAACTTTTAGATATTATGACTTGAATAACAACAACAACAGTAACATGCATGCTCACATCCACACACATACATTACCTTGTACCATTGGAGTTCCCTTTGCATTTGTAGGGCTGCTCCAGATACCCTTTGAAGTTGAGAAGGAGGAGATATTTTTGCAGCAAGATGTAAATAATTGTTCTTAAACATATCATGCCTCCTTGCCATTATACTCTTCTTTGTTCCTAAAGTAAATATAAGGCTAAAAATCTTCTCTTGACGCAAAACTATTGCATGTGAAAAAATTGTTTTCCCTTTTTGATCTTTTCTCCATATAATTTCGGGTTTATATTTAATCATTTCTTCTATAAATTCAGAAATTCCATGCTTTATGGCATCATATATTATTGTATCCATGTCCATTTTTTTAAAGATCTGATTTGTTCAGATGTCGCACTTCTTTAAACACGTGACTTAGGAATTTCACGACTTCGACATGGACTAACTTCCTCTGGTGTATGTAATTGATCTCTGGAACTGAAAAACTAAGAAAACTAATGTTAAATAGCCAATCATGTGTTATTAATTTCCAATTCATGTGTAACGGAAATTATATGTTTATAGAGGAAGATGATACATACCAAGAAATTGCAATATCCCCCAACCGAATTTGCGCACCAACTCTAGAGCTGTACAACAGGATTTTACTTAGAGTGTCAAAATGTACTTGGTTATCAAAGCCTAGGAATACATAATGCATGAAAGCCAGCTAGACCCATCACAGGCCATGTTGTGGTCAGCCCACATCTACAGTTGGCCAGGCTCAACCGTGACAGATCATGGGGCCATGTGTTCAAACTAAATTTGGAAAAAGACTTAGGCATGGGATGAACTGGCCGAGCCGAGCCAGAGATAGTCGATGAGTCATCATGGCCTGATTGATGCCTCTAAATTAAATTTAGGAAAGGGAGGAATGTGGTGGTATTTGACGTATCTCGAGTAGTCATAGAAATCCTTCCCATCAGATCTTCGTCGCTTGATTCTGATGGATTTTAACCAAAAAAGAAAGAGCAAGATGGAGATCAAAAAACCAGAAAAATCTTTTTAAACTTTATCCACTTGGTTGATATATACGGCTGGCTCTACCAACTATGTATATATAAATTACACAAAAGATTGTCAACCATCCCTCCAACCTACTACACCTTACCTTGTGACAGATTACACTATACATGATAGCATATTACAATTTTATAATAATAACTTGGCTGACTTGAACTTAAACAATTACAAAAACAAAATGGCAACAAAAGTGACAACATTAAATCTTTAAATCATCAACACTCCTTCTTGACACTTTTGTTGGAAACACCAAGACATTTTCTTAGTGTTTCAAACCTTTCTTTTCCCAGGCTCTTAGTTAAGATATCAGCAAACTGAACTTCAGACTTGCAGTTCACCAGCTTCACTTCCTGTTTTTCTTGTGCTTCCCTGATTGAATGATACTTAATCTTGATATGTTTTGTCCTTCCATGAAACACGGGATTTTTAACCATAGCAACAGCCGATTGATTGTCACAATAAATCACAGTTGGATTTGATTGATTGTGATTTAAATCCTTCAAGACTTTCCTTAGCCAGACCGCCTGATTTGTTGTTTCTGATGCAGCCACATATTCTGCCTCTGCTGTTGATTGAGCAACTGTTTTTTGCTTAATTGAGTTCCAGCAAACTGGACTTGATCCCAGATAAAAAACATATCCAGAGGTGCTCTTCATATCATCTAAGGATCCAGCCCAATCACTATCAGTATACCCAATCAGATCCACAATTTCAGACTTTCTAAACCAGATTCCCATTTCAGCATTCCCTCTGATGTACCTCAGGACTCTCTTTGCCGCTTGAAAATGCAACTCACTTGGTTCTTGTCTAAATCTGGAGAGCAAGTTTACAGCAAAAGTGATGTCTGGTCTTGTAATTGTCAAATACATTAGGTGTCCGACCAAACTTCTATATACCTTTTCATCAGTTTTCTTGTTTCCATCATCCTTAACGAGCTTTAAGTTTTGGGGCAGAGGAGTGCTTACCTGTTTGCAATTTTCCATGCTGAATATCTTCAAGATTTCTTTGGCATACTTCCTTTGACAGATAAAAATACCTTCTTGAGATTGATCAACTTCCATTCCAAGAAAATATTTCATCTCCCCCAAATCAGTCATCTCAAATGCCAACATCATTTCAGCCTTTACTTTGTCAATTAAAGATTCATTGCTGCCGGTTACTAGAAGATCATCAACATATAGAGAAATAATGACTGATTCTTCTTCCACTTGCTTAATGTATAAGGTTTGCTCATTGACACTTTTCACAAAACCAAGACGGCTCAAATGCTCATCTACCGTGCTGTACCAGGCTCTTGGAGCCTGCTTCAATCCATATAGTGCCTTCTTCAATAGATATACCTTCTCTTCATTTCCTTCCAGCAAGAAGCCTTCGGGTTGTTCAATGAAAATTTCTTCATTTAGATAACCACTTAGGAAGGCAGACTTCACATCCAATTGATGAATTTTCCAGCCACTTTGAGCAGCCATTGCCAGCAGTAATCTGATGGTTTCATACCTAGCCACCGGAGCAAATGTGTCGGAGTAATCAACACCCATTTGTTGAGCATAACCCTTTGCAACTAATCTGGTTTTGAGCTTGTTAATGGACCCATCATAATTCAGTTTGGTCTTGTACACCCATTTAACACCAATCACATTTTTTTCTTTTGGTCTATCAACTAGCACCCAAGTTTCATTCTTTTCTATCATATTAATCTCCTCCTTCATTGCAGTCATCCAATCATGTGAATTCATTGCCTCATTGAAGTTTGAAGGCTCCAACATGGCTAAATTACATCTGGCATAAACATCTACAAGAGTTCTGGTCCTCAGCACTTCATTTTCTGAATCAGAACCACTGTCATGTTCCGGTTCATCCTCATTGATGATGTCTTCATTTTCTTGAGCTACCAACCTTGGAACTTGAGGTTTATCCAAGGTACTTGCTTCCCAATTCCATGAATTATTTTCATCCACCTTGATATCCATGCTGGATATCATCTTCTTGGTTTGAGGATTGTAGACTCTATACCCTTTTGCATTGTCACAATAGCCAACTAGAATTCCAAGCTTTGCCTTTGGACTCAATTTATCCCTTTTTGCATCAGGTATATGAGTATAACATATACTTCCAAACACTTTCAAATGCGAGACATTTGGCTTAACTCCATACCAAGCCTCAAAAGGAGTTAGTTTGTTCAAAGCTGTTGTTGGTAATCTGTTCAGAAGGTAGATTGCTGTATTCACAGCTTCAGCCCAAAAATCCTTTGGAATTTTCTTCTCAAGCATCAAGCATCTTGCCATCTCCATCACCGTCCTATTTTTCCTTTCACAAACTCCATTTTGTTGTGGTGAATACGGTATTGTCAACTGATGTTTGATTCCAACAGCATTACAGAACTTATCGAACTGATCATTCTTGAACTCAGTTCCATTATCTGTTCTGATGGCTTTGATCTTACAATTGCACTCATTTTCCACCAGATTTTTGAACTTCTGAAATACACCAGCAACCTCTGACTTCTTCTTTAAAAAATAAACCCAACACATCCTTGTTAAATCATCAATGAAGAGTATAAAGTATCTACTACCATTTAGTGTTTGTGTTCTCATTGGACCACAAACATCAGAGTGTATTAATTCCAGCTTTTTTGATGCTCTTCTTGACTGATTTTTAGGAAATGGTAGTCTCGCTTGCTTTCCAAGTTGACAGATATCACATACACAGCTATCATCACATATGTCAGGCAAGTTTTCAACAAGATTCATCTTATGCATTTGCTTAAGTGAAGTGAAGTTTGCATGACCAAACCTTTTGTGCCAAAGTGTAGATTTCATATCAGTACAAGAGTATGCATGAGATGTCAAATTTTTCCATTCTAAAGGGAAGCTTCTTTGCTTCATTTCAACAGACATTAACTCCTGATTTTTTGGATCAAGTATGGTGCAGCCATCTCCTTTGAAAATCAATGTATATTGCTTCTCAATTAATTGACCAACACTAATTAAATTCTGGTCAATTTTAGGTACAAAAAGAACATCTGAAACTCGTTTAATACCTGATGGAGTGTGTACAACAATCACTCCAATCCCTTCCACTTTGACATAATCTCCATTGCCTACTCTTACCCTCGATTTATATGTTCGATCTAATTCAACAAAGGTGCTTGAATTAGAGACCATGTGGTGGGTGCAGCCACTGTCCAGTAACCAGGTTTTATCACTGTTGCAGCCTTTGAAATTATTGGCAGTGAAGAGATGCTCCTCCTGATGTTGCAGCTGATCGTCTGCCATCTGAGCCTGCTTCTTTTCATGTCTTTCCTTTTGTGATTTACACACCTTTTGCACATGACCAAATTGTTTACAGTTTCGACACTGAACTCCTGGTCTATACCAGCACCATTTTGGTGAATGTCCAGTCTTTTTGCAATGTGGACATGGTGGATATGAGTTTGC